CGCTCAGACCTTGAAATAGGGTGGCATTTGCCCTGAATTCGGTAGGTCCCTACACATGGACATGGTATAGGAAGTTGGCATGTCACAGAAACTATCTCTGCAGCATTTTTGGGTGGTGAAAAGACCACACACATGTGCACCCACCCATGTCTGTTGGCATTAGCTATAGAGCAGTGAGCTTTGAATTAAGAGCTGTGCATGATTGCTGTATGTGCATTCTGGCATGCAAGTGACTCAATTTAACACACTTTGAATAGCTTTGGTAGGTGTAGACTATCTTCCTTATTCCAATTCTTGCTTTTAAAAGGTGATACTCCCTTCCCTGCCCCCCAACCCCCATTGCAGGCCAACAGACTACTCAATTTCAGATGCATATGAAGAAATTTGGTGTTTGGGGATGGCTCTTCAGTAAAGAGACTGGGAATTGAATTGACTTTTTTTTTTTTGAGTGCCTGGAGAGAGGAGGATGGGGGAAGGTTAATTAGATTGCTTGGGGTCATTTTCATACCTGTCCTCTGAATGTCCAGTGGAATCCGAGTCCAACAAAGTCTTCCTGTAGTTTCCACAGTCGGCCTTTCTTGTTCTATCTGTCACGTGCTAGGAAATCTGGCTTCATTTTTTTTTTTTTTTCCACTGACTGTCCACACCCCTTGAAAGTGCAGTTGCAACATCTCAATTTATGCTGCTTCTATGATTAAAAAGCATGACTTAGTGGAAAAAATCTTGACCTTCTTGGGTTCGGCCTCTTTTGCAGCTGTTTTTGAGATAAGATTGCACTAATAAAAAAAGTCAGAACACCACATTGAGGGATATTTGTGAGGAAATGACTAGCTACTAAGCTTCTTTGGGTGGGGGGGGGATGGGATCTGCCAGGGTTTTTTGTTTTTTTTTTTCCAAAGAAATTGTTCCAATTTGACCTAATGTGCCTCAAATGATAGCCAAAGGTTAGTTTAATTATTATACTGGTAGCTTCCTACACCGCTGGCTATTTTCATGGTATTGTTGGCTTGTATAACTTACTGTAACACATTCTTTTTCCATTGCAACCCTCTCAACAATATAGTGTCAAGGTTCTTTTATTCCAAGCCTGGATAACTTTTCAAAACTGAAAGCTTAGCCTGCTGATCTTAAGCAGTGTGCAGGGTGCCTGAGACCTAGCCCTGCTCAACCAAACAGCAGCCACAAAATTGTTAGGCGAAATGGTCCCTGACATGCTCTGGAAAGGACTAATAAATACTAAATAGCTTAAGCTGCAAAACCCCACTTAATAATACAGCATTTGTTGGCCTTTTTCCATTTTTTTTTTTTTTTTTTTTTTCCTCGCCTCCCCATGGCTGCCTCTGAAGGACCTAAGGTGCCACACACTTGGGTGGTGGAGCTAGAATATGACTGCTCTTCCTTGCTCCTTAACACTGGGGAAAGCTGTAAAGTTTAAAAATGGCTCTTCATGGTGATTGGTCTGACTGGGGGTCTTCAGTCGCGTGGAGGGAGTTTCTTCAGTGCCTTCATCCCAAGTTGCTCTGTTTTAGTAGGAGGCAGTTAAACTTAGTTGCTCAGTGTTTAGTTTCCCATCCCCTGCCCTCTCTCCCCCAAAGTCTTGAATTTATAAAAGGGAAAAACATGGATAAATTCTATAAGAGCCTCACAGTATTCAGAGGAGCACCTAAACTATGTTTGCCTCTGACCCCGAAGATGCTGCCAGCGTTTAACAGAGCACTTGGTGGAAGCTGATCTGATTTTTTTTTTTTTTTTTTAATGGTAACCTGATAAGCCTATTACTTGAGTTTGGTTTGGTTTGTGCCCCTCCTTCTCCTTCCTTGTTCAGCTATTTCCATTTAAGAGTAAAAGGGCAAACTTCCGCTGCTCCCAGGGTTCTGCCTGCTAGGCACCTACCTATTGCCTCTGACCTGTCTCCATCCAGAGATGTTGAGGCCAGACTGCTACAACTGCAATAGCAAGTACTCTGCACCTCTTTAAAATTAGGCCTTGGTTCTTAAAATAGAGTATCCAAAAGTAGCAGAGCCTTTTGAACATGCAGAAATCACTCTAAGACGTGAATTTGGAGACTAGTACAACAATTGCATTTGCTTGTAAGACCCTAGTATCCTCTGTCACTGGTGACTGGCCTCTTCAGGGTTTTTTTGAGAACTCTGGCCCATCTATTGACAACCAAGTATGAATCTGCTAAAAATTCTTAATAGCTGTTAAATGAATGTTTTTTTGTTGGATACTAGACAACTGAGTTGGTTTTGTACGTCCTGTGTACTAGAAGGTTCTTGTCTGATGAACGGAGGCTTATTGAAACCCTTTTTATGTGATTGGTTAACCGGGTATTGTTTCAAAGCAGTAGTGGGTGTCCCTTCACTCTTGGAAAGTCTGTAAAACTTGTGTTTAAGCTGCTGTTGAGACTGCTCATCTCTTGCTTCACTACAAAGCAAGGTACACTTCCTGGATTGAGGTTTTTCTCTTGAAGCTAATGCTAGCAGAATGCATCCTGCTTCAGGGAGCCATCAGACTGTTATCCAGTTACTAGAGTTTAGTCTGCTAAAATTATTCCATTAAGTGAGATGGTGGAAGGCAAAAGGGTGATGGCTGTATTGAGGAGTGGGGTCTACATGGAAGGTTGGTAGAAGCTCCAGATCAGCTTAAACAAGGCCAAATGCATTGCTCAGACTTGTAGTTAGTGGTAGAAAAAACTGGTAGCCTAGCTACCAGTTACTTACTGCTCTTGAAGTTGTTGACTTGAAATGAACTGTCTTAAAAAGCTCAATATTTGAAACAAAGGTCTGAATAAATCAATAACATCTGTACATGACCCCTCTTCCAGCTAGAAGCAGAAGTACTTAAATACTGACAGTTTTCACAACGTGTATGCCCTGACCAGAAGCAGGAAATACAGATCCTCATAGGTTCTCATCACACAGCTTTCTCTCTTGTCTTTTCTTTTCTCTTCTTTTTTTTTCAGATCGATTTTTGTGGTCTTATTAGCATTGGTACTGAGCAGTAAACCTCCAGGAAGCTTGGTTTGTTTAGGTGTCCATTGAAATCTTATTCAAACATGCCATGTGTCTTGGAAATCCTCTTGTGAGGCTTTTCTTTCCAAGTTGTGTTACTTTAGGTCCCAGCTTGGCTTGAATGCAAAGACAGAATTACTGATGAGCACACCTGCAAATTCAGGAGTATTTCAGAACTAATCTGACTCCTTGTCCATGCTCACCTGTGATCCTTGGAAACAAGACTGGAAGGATGCCCCCCGGGCCACTGAGTTCAGTCCCCATCCTTGGGGCTAGTCCTGTTGAGAACTGGGGCTTGTTAGTAAAGATGCTCTATAGGAAGGCTGTTGCCTGATATTGAACTTAAAAAAATCTCTCTAATGGGTTACTCCTATTTTTTTTTTCTTTTTGTTCCAGATTTTCCCTGATCCCTCAGACTTTGACCGCTACTGTAAGCTGAAGGACCGCCTGCCTTCCATTGTGGTAGAGCCAACAGAAGGTGATGTGGAGAGTGGTGAGCTGAGATGGCCACCTGAAGAATTCCTTGTCCAGGAAGAAGAAGAGGAGGAGGAGGAGGAAGAAGAGGAAGAAGAAGAAAACTGTGCAGAAACAAAGAAAGAGAACAAGGAGCAGTAAATGGCATCTGAAAAATACAAGGGACCTGAATTGTCTTGAGGGAAGAGCAGACCTGTTCTGAAAAAACGTCTTTTTAAAAAAGAAAAAAAAGACAAGTTCAATTTTGCACCGGCAAGATCTTAGTTTTTTCATATCTCTGTATTGAGAACTGAAGCCCTCGATGTGACAGAATCTCCAGACCTTCTGAGGAAGGAAATCATACAGAGAAATGTTTGCTGTTCTCAAGATCGCTATCTGAATTTTTGAGGCCAAGAGAAGCAGCAGTGGAATTCTAAGGCACTTAGTGGCGGGTGAACATGCAAGGAACATTTTAATGGGGTGGGGAGGAATAAAGAGAAACCTAAAATGCAGCAGTGTTCAGCAAGGGATTGACTTTGGCTTCAAATGCATGAGATTTAGAATCTTCATCTCTCAAACTTGCCTTTCTTCTAAGCTTCCATTTATATGTATTTGGGGGTTAAAGGGAATTTGTGGTAGATCATCGCTAATGGATGATCTTCTGATTATCTGCTAAGGGATAAAGGATTCTGTAAAGATTGAACTCAGCACATCCCTAAAGCATCACAAATGCCTTTAGGAGTAATAGATCTTTCTTTCGCATCTGTTTCCAGAGTTGGGTTCTTTTTCCCTCTCCTTTACCCCATATCTGCATTTAGAACTTGTATTGCCGAACAGGCTATAGTATTAGGCTGCTACTTGCCATCTATTTTGTAAGGTCCTGGTTTTCATATAGGTGGTTAGTATGACTTAATGAGTCTGACCTAACAGTATGTTCAAATCTACGTGAACTTTTGCTGTAGAAAGAAATACCTACAGTGTGCTTCCTGTTAGTGAGACTACTGCAATGCCCAAAGCCACTGGTATTTTAAGAGTGGTGGGGATACCTACCTTCTAGGTGGCATTCATGCTGTATGGTTTCATATCTCAAATATATTGGTCATCAGAACTTGATATGTAGAGTGGTGGCTAGAGAGAAGGAGGGGCATGTTTTTTATTTGGTTTGATCTGTGTTATCAGAAAGGCTTTCCCATAACTCTAAAGCCAAGCTATGCTGGGTGGACCTAGAAGCTGCACAAATCATCCACTAAAAAGTGGATGAAACCAAAAATTCCCATATATAAACAAAGTGGTGTTGCCAAAACTGGTATTGGAGGCAATTTTAAATTAAAGATAGACTGCTAAAAGGCTGGGGGGGGGGTGAGGAAGGGGCTCCTCTGTTCATAAAGTATTATGACTTTTGAGTATTCTGGGCAAGATGTTATGCTTCTGATAATATTCATGGCATTGAAGAAAGGGCAAGCTGTTGGTAAGGTTGAAGGTGTCATCGTATGCACCTTGTTCAGTTCTGAGTAATAACCTCCTGTGTCTCTTCCTCCAGACTTTTGCTAGGATGGAATCGGATTGCAGAGAGGACTAAGCTGCCATTTTCCAGGAAAGCTGCAGCCTAGTGACTGTGTAAAAGCCCCTGGGGAGCAATAAAGTGTTGGTTCAGAGCTGACAGTTCTGGGAATAAAATGCCATTTCATTTCCATTTTAAAAAACAATCTGGAGACACTAAGGAGAAAAATGGCAAATGTAAAGGCCTTAACCAAACAGGAAGAGTAAACCCAATGTGTATCCCCTTGCTTTGTAACTGGTTTCATTTAAAAAAAAATGTATTTGGCTGTGTGTGTATTTGTATTTTAATACCTCATGAGTAGTTAAACGCTGGTGGGGGTTAGGGAATTGCTTTCAACATACTGGCAGGATTGTTTTAGTCTCGTCTTGCTTGTGTTTTAAACATAATGGCAATAACTTATCAGCTGTACGTAACTGTTTCAGACAGACATAAAAGAAGAGGGACTCACCCTTGCATTGTTCTTGACTAGTAACAGTGTAAGCTGATGCTCGTCTCTTTTTGCTCTTTTAGCAGCAAACCACCAGTCTTGCGCACACTCATTACTGGTCTTGGTAGATGGTCTCTCATCACAGAACTCCAGTCATGATCTAGTGATGTTCTCATTTTTAAACCAATGAATCCAGCTGTTGTATCTAACATCTGTTCTAGTCTTGCTGTCTAATGGAGTGAGCTTCTCCACCTGCATATCAGCCATCCTGTTTTTGTTTAAAGAACAAACAAAACAATAGTACTTGCTGATCTCCAGTCTGTACCACCAAATTGAAGCTCTGTATCAAAGAGGTTACTGTGCGGGCAGCAAACAGTTGGAAAACCTTGGATTAAAGATCCGGGGAAAAATGCTGTCTGCCCTAAAGACTTGCATATTTCTGTCTGCATACTTTTTTTTTGGAAGTATTGTGTATATTTCTAGGTGTTGTTGAACATATCTGAAGAACAAAGCACTCCAGTAAAACTCCTCCTGTTGTACGATATACATTCTATATTTCTGTAATTCTTTTTGAGCCTCAGGGAGAAGCTAGCGTTTTTTTCAAACTACTTTTTTGTCACTGTGACAGTTGTAAATAAAGTTTGAAAATGCTTTCCAACTTGGTAGCTTCCTTTTTGTATCTTCTCTCCAAGGGGTGGGGAAGGAATGGTAGGGGGTGTTGGATTTTGTATTTCCCTGAAGCCAGCCCAGGGATTGAACTCTTAATGTGTGTTTGAAATTAACTTCTTCAAAAGCACACCTGGGACATGCATGGGTACCACTGAAGTCAATGGAACTCAAACACATGTTTAATTTTCAAGTTGTGCAGGCAAATGTTGATTGGGGGGTCCTAAATCACTTGAAAGTCAGCAGTCCATTGCCTTGCTGCTTCATTGCCTTATACCTCAGAGACTTGGTTATATCTGGTCAAAGGACTAAAGGGTTTTTATTTTTTTTTCCTTCCTCCACCCCCTTCAAAAGGTATAAACAAGTTTGGTATTATTTCATTATTCCTAATAACCTACTGCAAAATAGCACCCCACCCCCATGCCTTCTTTCCTTAGGTTAATGGAGAACTGGGCAGAACCTTGATTCCTGTTGATAGCTTAAATTCTTTTCCCTTTTTAAAAACACATTGATGCACATAACTGCAGTAAGGGAAATTTAGGTTGGATATTTAGAAGAACTTCATCACTCTGAGGGTATTTAAACATTGGATCAGGCTATCCACCACCATCCTTGAATGTTTCTAAAAGCAGGTTAGATGTGGGGTCAGAAATGTTTTTGGGCAGAGTACAAAAAACCCTTCACAACCTAGACTTGTAAGATGTTTGTATGCCAGGTGTAGACAGTGCGGAAGCCGCAAGGGCTGCAATCCTTGTTATGGCAGTGCAGCCTTGGCCTCTTCTCTGAGGCACACGTGCCAAGCAAATTGCCTGTATGCCATGCTCTGGCACCTGTTTCAGGGGGTGCCTACCCCTGCATTAGACATACTTTTGACTGATAGTTTAGTTGGGAATAATCCTACTATGAGTGGGGGACTGAGCTAGATGACCTCCTGAAGTCCCTTCTAGCCCTACTTTTCTATGTTTCTATATAGAAATCTAAGCAGGGTGCCAACTAGGTAGGTCTTCTATATTTAATAGAGTTAAAATTTTCCACTGGGAAATTGGACTAAGACGACCATTCCATAACCTCTTCCTCCAGGTGGAGGGAAATAGCAGTTTGTCACTGTCTAGGCAAGTAATGAGCAAGGATGTTATGTTCCCAGAAATTAATTGGTCTGACTGGAGCATTAACTAACTACACTACACTGGCTTAAATATAAGTTGGGACCTGACATTAAAATGAAATCCTGGGAATTGAGGGCACCCCTAGCACTAAGCCCTGGTTTAAAGATTCTTAATGTTTCCTTGCCCCTGTGATGTGGATATTTGAATTGGTACCTCCAGTGGAAAAATGTCAAGCTTGCCCTTTCCTGATGGGACTGTTGTTTAAGCTACTTCCTAAAGCCTCCTGTTTAATTAAAGTTTTTCACTTCTTCAGTTTTCAATTTTTATCCATTGTGAAAATGTTGCAGCAATCTGTCAAACAACAGGCATCAGTCTGTGAAATCACTTGGGAAGCTGCATATACTTACCCAGAATATTGATTTTTCTTTTTTTTTTTCCCCCCTGATAACAAAAGACTGAGGTGGTCCGAAAGTATAGGGAGAGAAGTACTGTGAGCAATTAAACATACTTGCCCACCACCTCAGTGTGTTTGATCTGAAAAGTTGTTCTGACTCAGATGAGAACAAATTTTGATTAAGCAGGGGGTGAGAGAACAAGATGCAATGATTTGTGTTCTGGGATGCAACCAAACGTGAAGTCGTTGAGCAGGAGTCCGTCATCTGTCTGAAGACAGAACTGAAACAGCACTAGCAGGTTATATGGGTGAGGGTGTGGGTAGAGTAACATGTTGATTTGATATTTTTAGCCGGCATGTCCACACTCCTGCATATAGGCAGCCAGCACCAGACAACTGAAGTGGATTTGGACTGCTGCCGAAGAGTGGTACTTTCTCTCCCAGGGCACTTCTCTGACAGCATGATAGTCCTCCCTTACAAATCAGGGGCAAGATCCGGAAGCTAATTGGGAGATGCTTTTTTTCCCCCCTTCTCTCCCCTCTAAATGTTTAGTTCCTCTTGAAGTGAGAAGATGCTGTGGTTACTATTTCTGCTTGGAGTTATTAACTCATTAGAGAAGTGTGTGAGATTGTAAGTCCCTGATTCTCAGGCAGGGAGGGTGACTTGAGATCCTTTCAAGGGTGCTACACAATGTTAGCATTGTTAGATTTACAAACATGATTCACAAGTTTAAACCCAGAGATTTCAAATAGGCCACAACTATGGATTTCTTTCTCAGCTCTGCAATAGAAAAAACCCTGTTCTATTATTTTTTGTAGGCCAAAAAGAATGAAAACTAAGAGCTGTCATTTTCTGAGGGGTGTCTTGAGTTTAAAAAGGCTGAGAACCACTGCTCTAAGGTAATGCAGGCAACTAGTTGCAGCTGCCTTGCACCGACTCCCACAGAATTGTTTTGGGTCCATTTTTTTGCCCCAGTTTTGGCACACAGCAATAATCTGAACTGAGCTTTCTCTCTGAATTTGTCCCTCTGTGTGCTTCTGAGCCCTGTGGGGTGATTTTGTCAGTAAATTCAGTATTACTCCATCACATCTGCACCTGGTGAAAGGCTTCTCCATGGCTTCATTGTCTACTAGTGCTGTTACAAGCTCTCTTACAGTGTTACCAGACTTCCACCAGGCTAAGGAACGATGCCTCTTTCATAGTTATGAGTGGGGAATGTCCTCAGGGTCCAGCTTCCTATTTCTGTCTCTAATAAGAGAAGTTCCTAACAGCCTAAAAACCTTTGTGACTGATTGAGAAGTCCATTTTTGTGGTGCTGGTTTAGACCATTTACTCTCTACTCTTCTTTGGGAAGCCTGAAAGCACAATTTAATCTAGGCTCGTGAGCTACAACAAAATGAAAGAGGTAAATGATACCAAGGAGCAATCCACTTTAATACATATGCTTCAATCTCTCCAAAGCAATCAAACTGACCCAAATGTCTCTCTGTAAACTTGAGCAATTACTGTACTCTAAATCCTTGTCAGAATGGAATATAAGAGCTCTAAAAGATTCCAGGTTTGAATTGAGTGATTGCTTTCTGTTTACGATTCACTGGACAAAAAAAAAAAGAAAGAGGAACAACATTATGAAAATGATGAGATTAAAATTATTAAAATGATGAGATTACACATCTTCCATCATCAAGGCGGGGGCGGAAGAGGGGCATACCGAGGCATTGTGTGTCAGGATCCAGGGGGGGTCAGGGGAAAAGGACTTGGTAGTGGGGGTCTACTACAGACCTCCTCACCAGGATGACGAATGCTCCAGGCAGCTCTCAGAGGCCATTCAGGTGAGGGAGGCGGTGGTCATGGGGGATCTAAATTACCCAGACAACTGCTGGGAGGAGCAGATGGCCAAAACAAACCGCTCGCATAGGTTCTTACACTGTGTGCAGGACCTCCACCTAACCCAGGTGGTGTCTAGTCCCACCAGGGGTAGCGCCTAGCTAGACCTGGTCTTAGCAACAGGGGATGATCTTGTGGGGAACCTGTGAGTACACAGTAACCTAGGACATAGTGACCATCACTTGGTAGATTTCACTATCCAGTGGAGGGTGGGAAAAATATCCAGTGAGGCCAAAGTGTTAGACTTCAGAAGGGCCAACTTTACTAAACTTAGAAGGCTAGTTAGTGAGGTGGTGGAACTCAAGAGCATCAAGCAAATGGGGGTCCAGAAGAGTTGGAGGTTTCTCAAGGGAGTGATCCTTGGGGCACAAAAGGAGTCTATCCCCTTATGCAGGAAAGGGGATAAGGAGATAAAAAAGCCCCCTTGGCTGAACAGGGAACTCCAGAAAAGACGGGGGGGCAAAGAAAGAGATTTACAGGCAGTGGAAGCAGGGAGCAGCCACCAAGGAAGAA